AGCCAACCTTGCCCATCAACCTGTCACACCACTGTTTCCAAGACGTCAGGCATAAACGCATCTACATAACACCGATGTACGGATGCAAACTGCATAGCGAGCATAGCGACCGATGAATCAATAAACGCTAGGTCCGCCCGACCTACGACCGAACCGACCAAACGAAGTGAACGTACTATGCACACGAAACTCATAAACGTGCTGCTCCCAATACTGGACTTCGGCTTGTGCCCCCGCTTATTTTAACGAATTACACTGCGGCATCTGGCGGATCTCACGATAATGGCGAAACGCTCAAATACATACAAGGCCCAGCCACTACACGCCGGAAGCCCCGTAGTATGCGCTGTCTACAATCTGGGCATATGAGGCAGGCTGAGGCACATTATTTTATGCAAACGCTCTAGCAGTCCACGGTTCGCCTACAACCCGTCTGTGCCGTGCGACCATCACCTCGCGCAAGCATACTGCATACAAACACTCCTCTGACAAAGCTCTCGTTTTCAGTTCTAACCATTCGACTATATTCGGTTGAATAAAACTCCTTGACGCCCCTGTATTTAATAAACCCTCGCATCTATGCCCAACTATCTCGAGCAGTAACACCGCCGTTTTTCCTCCACTGCAAATTCTACATAGTAGCCCGTGGTGTTCCACCGTATCTCCTTGCCACCAAAACCACGACGGTATTATTCGTTCGTCCTCTCCTCCTTCCCTTTCTTCTATTCTGCTTTCACAGAATGCTCACTCGTTCTTTTCGTTTCCGTTCCCGTTTCCTCGTTCCATGTTCCTGCTTAACAGCATCACATGCCTCTGGGTTTGCTGCCCAGATTCGTTCCCGTTCGATTCATTCCCGTTCGATTCGTTCTCGTTCGATTCGTTCCCGTTCGATTCTTTCCCGTTCGATTCGTTCTCGTTCGATCCGTTCTCGTTCGATTCGTTCCCGTTCGATTCGTTCCCGTTCGATTCGTTCCCGCCTCTCTCACGACCACTACATCTCAAAGTTTTGGAGACATTGATGGCGTTGGGTCCAGTAACAACCTGACCCGCAATGCCGCCATTGATTAATTCTGGCCTAGTACGCTTGTTTGCATCAACGCCTAGGCCCCCTCGGTTAATCGGTTAGCTCCCACATTAGGTTCAGAGTACAACGTATTATTTGATTTTGGTTTTCCGGCCAGTGTACGTCGACCAA